CGATCGTCGGACGCTTGGAGAGGGAATAGTGGTGGGAGTCGCGGCGATCTTCCATCCTCTATCGCAAACGTAAGAACGAGAGAAATAGCATTATAAGACGTCTGGACAGAAATGCCGTCCTAAAATACGTGTGACACACACTAAGAAAACGCTTGACTCACACTGTCTCGTCTATACGTGAGCAATACGCGGTGTCCCGACGACTGTTTCGCTCGCTCGAACGTTCATACATTTTTCATTGTTAGCAAGGAAATTACTGTAATGTAAAAATCTTGGAGAAAGGTTTTTAGGAGGTTTTGACAAATGCTTCTTAATAACTATTCTTGAAAAAAAAATAAATATTATATTTATTTTAATATAGAATTCTGAACCAACATAGAATATGTTGCAACAATATAACGTTTGTGTAGGTTGTCGATCGAAGAAGAGTATTTTTAATTTTATTGTTGCATAAACACGCGAGATATAATTATTTCATATTTTATGCGTTCGAGTATCGTTCCATCGTTATAAAATTTGGTGACTCTAAAAAGGGCCGATTTTTGCGCCTGTTTCAAATAATTATTGTTCCTTATTACTATGGATACAAAAATGCGACCCGTTTCTACTATTGACTATCGACCTCAACTGCTTCGACACAAAAATCGGCCCTTCTCAGGGCCACCAAATTTTATAACGATGGAACGATACTCGAACGCATAAAATATGAAATAATTATATCTCGCGTGTTTATGCAACAATAAAATTAAAAATACTCTTCTTCGATCGACAACCTACACAAACGTTATATTGTTGCAACATATTCTATGTTGGTTCAGAATTCTATATTAAAATAAATCTAATATTTATTTTTTTTTCAAGAGTAGCTATTAAGAAGCATTTGTCAAAGCCTCCTAAAAACCTTTCCCCAAGATTTTTACATTACAGTAATTTCCTTGCTAACAATGAAAAATGCATGAACGTTCGAGCGAGCGAAACAGTCGTCGGGACACCGCGTATTGCTCACGTATAGACGAGACAGTGTGAGTCAAGCGTTTTCTTAGTGTGTGTCACACGTATTTTAGGACGGCATTTCTGTCCAGACGCTTATAATGCTATTTCTCTCGTTCTTACGTTTGCGATAGAGGATGGAAGATCGCCGCGACTCCCATCACTATTCCCTCTCCAAGCGTCCGACGATCGTATACCGCTAGCTCCCTCCACTCCGTGCTGCTCATGGCTCACCTACACGCAGCAGTATATGAGTGACGCGTTATCGTGTGCGAGTCACACGGATATTCGGACGGCATTAATGCCGGTCGTGTACGTATGTTACACTGCGATAGTATCGGATCAATATATATGAAAACTCTCCTCCTCGTTGAAGATTTATCTTAAACATTCGTGCAGTGTTCGTTATGAGTTGATAAATAAATAGGCTGTGAATAAAGCTGGGCAGCATGTCTACTGAAAAGAAACACTTGAAAGAGGTAGTAGATACGTCAGCAAAGCAGGATGAGACAGTTCCTTGGAGACTGGACGGTATACTGCTGCGAACGTTCCTACTTGTCACTTGTGTCAAAATGCTTTTGATTCCTACTTAGTCAGTATAGTTTTTTGTTAGCATGTTCATTATTGAGATTATTCATTGTATAAATTAATGTTGTTTGTACTTTAATCTACAGTCACTCCACTGACTTTGAAGTACACCGCAATTGGCTTGCCATCACATATAGTCTACCTCTCAAGGAATGGTATGTGAACACACAATCCCCATGGACTTTGGATTATCCTCCTCTGTTTGCATGGTTCGAGTACTGTCTCAGTCAGATGGCGGTGTTCTTTGATCCTGAGATGGTTAAAGTAGAGAATTTAAATTATGTATCACCAAATACTGTGTATTTCCAAAGGGGTACTGTCATACTTGCCGATTTGATATTTGCATATGGAGTAAGAGAGTATGTATGTTCATAGTAACATGACGGAATTATACTCTTAGATCAAGATGGATAAGACTCTTAGAACACAATACTCACAGAATGAACTAATCTCTGCAAGTACAAAACTTCTTTGTACAATTTTAGTGGATTCAATTCAATCTTAAGTAAACTGATTAAAAATAGATACTTTTCTTTTATAGGATTCTTTAACACAAAATACAGTTACAAAGGAATAATAAAGATATAGAAAAATTAAATTCTAAAGAATTTTGGCACAATATTGCAATCTATAACACAAATTTTCTTTGTAGAGCAGGCAGGACGTTTTGTAAATCTGCAAACAGCAACATAGTCTTTATAATTTTATCACTATGCAACATAGGACTTCTGGTAGTGGACCACATACACTTCCAATATAATGGCTTCCTACTTGGCATCTTGTTGATTTCAATGGCGAATGTGTCCATGATCGACAAACAGGTAAATTCCGCGGTACATTCTCGGAATTTACTTACAGATGTAAAAAGTAGTTTACTCTTTAGATGTCGATATTGCAAGGTGCTGCATGGTTCGCCGTTTTACTCAATTTAAAACACCTGTATATATACGTAGCACCAGCGTACATCATCTGGTTACTGAAGTCATATTGCCTGAATAGTGGGAAGTTCTTTAAACGAATATTCGCACTCGGGTTTATCGTTTTGACCGTTTTGCTGATATCTTTCGGTCCTTTCAGAACCCAATTACCACAGGTATTACATATTTCTCTAACAGCTAAGTAATCTTTGCATTTTCTATTGTTTCAATGTTTTCTTTTCACTAGGTGATGTCCCGTTTGTTTCCGTTTAAAAGAGGTTTGGTACACTCCTATTGGGCCGCAAACGGTTGGGCACTTTATATCGGTGTAGAAAAAGTGTTGTCTGTGATATGGAAACGTTTAGGATGGTTAAAAGACGCTAAATCTGCAGTGATGACGGGTGGACTTGTGCAAGAACAAACCTTCCTTATTTTACCCACTCCAACTCCCATTGTTACATTTATCTTTACTTTTTTGGCAATACTTGTGAGTTCAATGCAATTACTTACATAGATCTAAAAAAGAAATATAATACAAATAGATATAATGTAAAAGTGGTAACTCTTATTCTTTTCCATGTTAGATATCTTATATTTCTCAATATATTTTGTAATTACATTTTTTTTATATAAACTGTATTAAATAATTATCATTATTACAGCCTGCACTATGGTGCCTATTCTGTAAGAAGCACTACATGAACCCGAAATATTTTATTAGGTGCATTGTCCTATGCGCTTTAGGATCGTTCATGTTCGGCTGGCACGTACACGAAAAAGCTATACTGACCGCGATCGTTCCTTTATGGTAAGCACGTTCCTTTATTGAGTGCACGATATCGAATATCGTATTATTTTATGAAACATGCTATTGCACTTAAAACAATATAAAGTCAAGCCGAATTCCAATTTTACGGCGGAAGCTGAATTCACTAAAACTATGATGATTTTCATCACTGTTGGTCCATGCGGATCGAGTAAAATAATCATCGTTGATTGATAGATTATTGATAGATCTCTCGCCGGCGTGTGTAGCCGCGTAATCTAATACTGATAGATTAAAAAATATGATTATAAATTTATAAAAATCCACAATTTCGCATGACCGAAGAAACTAATGACAACCGACAACTTTTTCCAGCATTCTCGCAGCGACAGACGAAGAAGATGCACGGACATTCATAATTCTAAGTAGTGCCGGACACACCGCTCTTTTGCCACTTTTGTATCCCAATAATCTATTTCCGTTAAAAATAATATTGTCGCTGACGTATATGCTCTCGTCGATTGTATTTCTGACGAGTCGGCATGGCAAATCTCTGTTGCAATTACACGAGTGGTTGTACGTGATTCCGCTGCCGTTGGTCACAATCTACGAAACGGTGCTACACAAGTTACTGTTCAGCGACAGATTGCCATTCCTACCGTTAGCACTTACTTCCATATACTGCGCGATCGGTATCACTTACTGCTGGATACTGTATTACTGCATATATCTACGAAATAATGGTCGCACCGACGACAAAACAACGAGCAAATCAAAACGTCAAAGACTGAAGGATAAACGATCTTAGAAGATACGATCGTGTACAAGGCATGCGTATTTTCTAAATAAAGTTTATACACATCTGTTTCTTATACACAAGTGATGTGCTTTAGTTTTTTTGCTGTTTTTAATACAAATTTTGCTGGCATTTTTGAATCCACGACTGAAGGCGTAAAGAAGCTGAATTGAAAAGAACTGAACAATATATATAATGTGTAAACATTAAGCGCTATACTTTCATCGCGACAGCGGATGAGACCGGAAATTGGTGAAAGAAATTATTAGCTTCGATCAATATCACTCTTACTCTGCGTCACAGCCACAAGATGCCACTATCACAAGTTAGAGTAGAAAAAGCGTCAACCGAGACGAATTATCTCTCATACCAATTTCTAATCGTACTCCGCGAACGGAATACTTGGTTAATGTATTGTTGCGTAATTCTTATAAAAATGTCTTTGTAAGATTCCTGCAAAATGTTTCTTGAAATCTCTTTTCGAGTAGATAAAGCTCGAAATAAGTGAAAAGTGAAAGCTTAGGACAAAATTAGTGTTGCGCGCATTGTGCTACGCATTTACTGCTTTCGATCAGTGCCTCAATCGTCAAAGCTCATTTTTGTCGGCTGATAGCGGATTGTCTTGTGTTTTTCAAACTCATCGTGGTTGCCCTCGAAGCATACGGGACAGTACAGATCGCCGGTACAACCCATACATTGCACAAGATCCGCAGTCTGCTCGCACATTACGCACGTAGGCTTCTCATCCTCATCTTCGCTTCTATTCGGAATCTAAATATTAATTTAGAAGAAAAATAAGACCTATATATGAATCATTCGCGAATGTCTAATACAAAATTCAATTTTTGTTGTGCGGAAAGAAATTTCTACTGCTTACACATATCCTATTAATTTATTATAAATCTAAGTTTAATATCTATTCAACATAGCCATAAAAGTACGATTTATTCGACATGTACTCACCTCGGAATCCATTGCCTCCACATCTTTCAATTCCTCCTTCTCATACTTGGCCTCTAACATCGCTTCAGCTAAAGCCTTGTTAATTAATTTCTTCGTCACCTTCTCCTCATCATCGTCGATACCCTTCTTACTTTCATTAACATTCTACAAAGTACACGACTCATGGTTATAATTTTATATTTCTAGTTTACATCTTCACCTACTCACAGTTTTGTCACGCTCGTCTCGTAAAGAATTCAGTTTCTCTTGTATCTCTTTGCAAGGATCATTGGTCGCAGATAATTCCAAGTACTCCTGAATCAAGTCATCCATCTTCTCTTGATCAGTTCTGGTGTCCACTTGATGTATCTGAAATTAATGATCGATGAATATTTCTTGATAAATGTGTAATATGTATAGTTTACATACATTCATGACATTACTATTCCCATTGGCCTCTGGATCTTGATCTTTCAACAATGCCAATCTTCTTTTTATTTCATCGACACTAGGCAATGGAATGTTTTGCTCCTTGTTTTTCAGTTTCTGCAATCTATCGACAATTTCTTGATCGGCTGGTTCTAGTCCCTTCTTAAATTGGTCCCATGGATTTGTATGCTTGTATATCACTACTGGAGGTCTAGCTGGATTTTCTAATGAATCCAACCTAATAATGAAATACACATAATGATGCATTGACAGTTTCATAAAATATTTTTTATGTAATAATTAGAATTTTTCTTACTTCATAGTAATATCAATTGGTGCAAGTGGCTCTTTACTTATGTCAGATGACGAAGTATCACTTGTGGAGGCTTCAGGACTCGATTTTTTCATATTGTTTAATTTATTGTGACAACACCCGCAAACTTTCTTCACTCCTACATTAGGAATATCACACTTGTACTTGAGACACTTGTTGCAGTAAGAAAAGCCACAGCTTGGACAACCGATCTATGCAACAGAAAAAAAAATGAAAAATAAGCAAAGCGATGATTTTTTTATTTCAACAATATTATTTTAATGAACTAACCTAATAACGGTAGAGAAAAACAACGACACTCACGTTTTTCGTGAAGAACGAAAATTTGGTTTGGCAAGTATTGCAGGACATTCTTTTAACTTTTTATGGATATTCTCTTAGCATGACAAAAAAGGATATTATATAAATCTGAGAACGATCACAAAAAACTCAAAAGATTTTGACGTTTTCCCACTGTCACCTAAGGCGTTTTTTCGTTTCGTAACCACGGTAGCGTTTGGTTGGTTAGTTTGGTCCACTTACACTCGCAACGCCATGAGCGTCATTTACATGGACGTAGAAATATCTGGACGGAGCATATTTCGCGGGGAGTGAACTCACAGGGGTGAGAGGAATGAAAGTCGGAAATGATCACCAAATATGGCGGCGGCTTATATCACGGAGCACAATAACTGCGTTCGGCATTGTAAATCCTTCCTTCCTTCTTTCAATATTTGGCTAGAGGCGCATCCATGACTCATGCCCCAACGCCATTACTCATTCGGCATTGTAAATCGAAGACGTCGGATTGCTCTTTTATTTCGAAAATGCACAGAAGTGAGAAAGATACGAGATCTCGTATCTTTTTCATTTTTTTATATATATATATATATATATATATATATATATATATATATATATATATATATATATATATATATATATATTTATGGTGTGTCACTTTTGATCACCAAAGATGGTTGCGACGAAGATTTCCCTTCACCGCGCTGACTTCACACCCCGCGCCCATAAAAATACTTTGCGCTCCGTCCAGATATTCCTACGTCCATGGTCATTTATCTTTGTTGCTCGAGGCGTTGCGAGGGTTAAGTGGACCAACCAACCAAACGATATCGTGGTCACGAAACGAAAAAACGTCTCTATACGTACAGGTTTAAGCTGATAGGCCTGTTCTTTGTAGCTGCACTGCTGAACTAGTGCAATAAGTTAGAGTGAGAAAAAGTATATTTGTCTCGCTTCAGTATATTGCAATATAGTGCACAAAGAACAAGCCTTAGACTGATATTACATGTGTCGTACGACAAGCTTTTTGTATTCGTTCATTGGTTGACGAACAGAGAACCTAGAAAATACTCTATTCGCCAACCAATAAACGTATCCGAAAAGCTTGTCGTACGATACATGTAATATCAGCCTAATGCAGAATTCACACCGCGTCCGACGTACGACGTCTGATATCTAATAGGAGAACAGCTTTCTAATAGAGAATTCAATTCTCTAAAATGAATAATGCCTCTGCTCCATACATGCGGTGAGCTCCGGTAAAATGCTGCGGTGACCAATTAGATACGGGGAACGCGCGATACTTTTCTCGGAATTCCCAACTGTCCGTTCCGCGACATACCCATTTCGGGCGCTTACTTGACCACATGTCGTCACGACGATCGCGCGATATTTACTTTCGGCACTCTCGACAATACTCGCACACAACGTTCTCTTCCAACGGATTGATAATTCGCATTATCACATGACAAACGCGTTATACTCAAAACTATCTGTTACGCGAGATGACCACTTCGGGTGTTTACTTGACAATATTTCGTCACGACAAACGCGCGAGACTTATTTCGACACTTTCGACAATATTCGCGCACATCACTCTTCTTTGACGGATAGGTGATGCGAGGAATAACAAATCACGGCTCGCATTTTCGATCGCCATTAACATCACAAATGCGCAAATTCACAACTGCTTATTTCGCGACGTACCTATTCCATACGAGGTATTTGACGATATCTCGCCACGACGAACGCGTAACACTTACTTTCAGCACTTCCAGCGATGATCCACGCACGAAACTCATCCTGGGGTACTATTTTGTACACGTTTACCGACAACTGTCGGATCGGTAGACATCGTTGCGCAGCTTTTTTATACCATAGAAAAGCTGCGCAACGACGTCTACCGATCCGACAGTTGTCGGTAAGCGTGTACGGAATAGTATCCCTGGGTAAACTGAAATCGTACAACAACGTAAGACGATTTGTGAAATACATTACGTGCGCGTTACAATTCGTCTTCGGTCAGTATGGCCAACTCATGAGAAACATCAACAAGCCGAACATTATTGGTTATCAGCAAATAAGGGTCTATTAAACCCGTTATTTCTGATTGGCTGAAATAGTTCCAAAGTCTCCGTTACGAGCCGCCACTTTCCAGGGACCCGATTCTTGGGCGCGTTTGAAAACACATTGGCCGCGTTCAGTAGAACAAGTGATCAGTAAGCGCTCAGGGAGCTCTTGTATATGATTTGGCATATTCTTTTAGATCTCCAACTATACTCCAATCAGATGCAAGAGCTCACTGAGCGCTTACTGATCACTTGTTCTACTGAATGCAGCCATTGGTTCGACCTGGTAATTCACTAGATAATTCTTTGCACCGGTTAGTTATGTCCAATCGTACCGCGGTCAATCGGGACCCTCCCTAGTATATGCTTGAGTATATAGACATGGGCCGGTATTCATAGTCCGATCTTATATTTAAGATCATCTTAAGTACTATCTTAAGATGTCATGAACCAATCACAGAGCCGTATTCGCATCTTAAGACATTACTTAAGACGGTCTTGAAATAAGATTCGACTATGAATACTGGCCATATTACTACTTCGTTTCGATCGTAGGGTGCGTTCAGATTCTTTACCCGGATGCACTATGGGCTGCGTTCGGAAACACACACTGTGTGCACACTACTAGACAATAGCCGTTGGAGTGAGCGAAATACTAGAGTGAGATAAAAAGAGAGGGAGAGTACTCGAGTGACTTTTCCGAACGCAGTCCTAATTAGGGATGGGTAAAAAGAATCGATGTTTAGAAAACATTGATGCTCGCTTATTAGCCTGGTTTACATCGTGCACTTGATACGCGTACTAAATAATAACTTTCTATTAGATAATTTTATGACTCCTGCACATAGGACGCAATAATACTTGCCGCGCGGCGGAAGTTCGCGCGACAGCCAATCAATATGCTGCTTTCCGTAATAATCTTCTAGCTCCTACGGAAAAACAACATATTGATTGGCTATCGCGCGGACTTCCGCCGCGCGGCAAGCATTACCGTGTCCTGCGTGCAGGAGCCATTAATATCGACAATGCATATCAACAGCGACGCATTTTATCAATACAATACGTTTTGTTGATGAGTATTATACTAACTTAATATACCGTTGTTTATATATATCGTCGATATTAAGATTATCTAATAGAAAGTTACTATTTAGTACGCGTATCAAGTGCACGATGTAAACTAAGCTAAGGCTGCGTTCAGATTCCTTACCCGAGTGCACTCTAATACAAGAAGTGCTATAGTATATGTAACATATACTATAGTGTTTCTAGTAACAGAGTGCGCCCGGGTAGGGAATCTGAACGCACCCTAATAGGTATCCTGAACGCAGCCATAAGTGGCGCCTAGTAGCGGAAAATTTTAAACTAACAAAAATAGTAGGCTAGCTAAAATAAATCATTCAGCCGAGATTCAAATCCTACTTAGTTTATTAATCTATCGTTATGTTTATGCATAGTTTTCTTTTATTTTTAAATTACACAATTTAACTACAAATTTCTTTCTTTTCTTCAATATTATCCATTACTATGTCTTGTTTTTTATCTTTGCGAACCTATCACATGAAGTTTACCCCTTCCATTGTCCATTTTCCCGCGGATTTTGTTACAATCGCGATGTAATGTTATGAAGGTGTGCTTGCAATGCGTTTTATAAATAGTGTAACATTAATATTCTCGTGAAAGTTGTTTATTTTCTAATCGATATTTCTTCATATCGTCATTACTATTTATTTGTCGACGCACACGATCGGTCAGATCCTTCCCGTTGATCGAAGTCTTCGTCGAAGTCTAGGTTAGGACGACGATGCTAAATTGACAGATCTTTGTATTGTATCATAATCTACAGTAATTATCTACAGTAATTACTACAAAACTCTTTCGAGTAGGAATTGTGCTTTACAAAATACGAGGTAAATTTAATGATACAACGATTTAAATGTCATTTCATTAAAATGTGTAATTGTTCCAATATTTTTGTTCAAAAGAAAAATATTCAATTTAACAATACTTTCTTTTAACAGGTTTAATCAACAGAATAAAGCAATGGATGTTTCCGTGGAAGATGATTGTACAGTAGAAGTAATTACACATTCAAAGAAAAAAACGCTGAAACAAGGTATGTTTACTCTTAAGTTTATTTTTTAGAAATATTTATGATATATGTTCTGTATGTATATGCAGAATATCTGTATATTTAATTGATTATTTGATATTTCAGCACAACTGCCATTTCAAACATTAAGTGCCTCTAAATCTCCAAACAGTACAAATAATATGCCTAACAAAAAGAGGAAGGTAGTATCGCCTTTAGAAGAAATTAAGAATAGTAAAATGATAAAATATGCAAAGGAGAACTCTGCTAAAGACATCTCTGAAGAAAAAGAAAAAGTAGAAGAAAAATCTGACACTGATAGCGAATGTATTGAATTAATATCAGATCAAGAAGAAAAAGACTTAGAACAAAGTAGTGAACAAAATGATGAGGAAAAAACGAAAATTGAGACACCTAAAAGGAATTTTATAAAAAAAAATAAAACACTGAAAAAGTCCCAAAAGAAATCTGGTGCTTTGACAAAGTTTCTCACAAAAGCAGACAGTGAACCCACAAGCACTTCACTCAAATCAAGGACTCAAGAACTAGATTGTCAAAATACATCCCGTGAAGAAAATGGCGAAATTCCTTTAAGTTTGCAATCCCTTGAATCTCCATTGCATATGTCTCATGTGAGCAAAGAAATGAATCAAGTTAATGTTATAGAAAATCCTAATATCAGCCAAGAGTCAGATTCTGATATTGCTATTTTATCTTCGGATGATGAAGCTCCAAGCGAATTAGATAAATCCATAACAAGTATAAATGAAGAAAAGACTATAAAATCACCAATTCCTACTACCCCAAAGAGTGGGGACAAGGATGAGAAAATAAAATTTAAAAAATTAACACCTAAGCAATTAGAAAAAAGGCAAGAAATAGCCAAGAGAAAGGAGGAAAAGGCAAAATTAAAAATGGTATGTTACATAGTAAAGTTTTAAACTCTTTTGTTTGTGTGCATAGTTATGCTTTATACTTGTCATTTATTTTTCCTCTTTTAGGAGAAAGAGAAGAAACGGCTAGAAGAGAAAGCGGATCGTCGAAGAAAGAGAGAAGAGAAGCAGAAACAGAAGGAAGAAAAGGAGAAACTAGAGAAACAGCAAAAGAAAAAGGAGAAGGAAATGAAAGAACTTAAGAAACAAATGGAAATCGAGTATGAGTATTTTATTGAATTTTATTGTCGCCTTTTTTTACACTTTTATTAAGCTCTATTTGTTTCTGTAGACAAAAACAAAAAGAAAAAGAAGCGAAAGAAGAAGAGCGAAGAAGGCGAGAAGAAGAGAAGAGGAAGAAAGAAGAGGAAAAGTTGGAGGCCGAGCGTAAGAAACAGAAGGCGGCATCGAATTTCGCCAGTTTCTTTGTCTCTAAGAAACAAGAAGCTAAATCCACAGAGGAGGAGAGCGACATCGAAGCGAAAAATTTTATGCCTTTCGAGGTGAAAGTAGACATGAGAGTCGCACCAGTATGTCGAAGAATGTTGAGTAAACAGCAAAAATCATTATTGGATGAAAAATGCAACGCGAAAGACACGAAGAGGTCCGAACTATATCTCGAGGATGTCAGGAAAGGTAGAATCGTACCACGAACTTCTTCCAAAACGTGGCCACTCGAAACGAAGGACGATGATATTGTTATATTAGGTAAATATTATGTTCATCAAGCTATATGTTTGATAAATCTTTGACTACAACAACTTCATCTTTGACAACTTAAAATTGAGACATGTAATAGTGCTCTTAGTACGAACCGAGTAGTTATTTTTATATTTTTTTAAAAAACTATGTATATTAATCATGGTACTCTCTCGATTATTCTAATATTCACTGTATATCTAGATAACTACCTGTAGATTATTCGAATAGTTGAGTATTCAGATTTTAACGCTATTAATACACATACAATTATTTCTATAGATGAAGACAACAATGGCAACTCCAACATAATTATGGAGACGCATCACTTGGAAAAACATCGACCGAAGTTACTGCAGTTCGATGACAACCGTCGTCCTCCATATTGGGGCACGTGGAGGAAACAAAGCAACGTCATAAAGCCGCGGCAACCGTTTGTGAAAGACCAGGTAAGAATCATCGTGTCTCACGTTAACGATATTCAAAGGAGATCGAAGAGACTGAGGTTGAATCTTAAAAATACTCAAATCGAAAAATACTTTAGAAGAATGAGATAAGAGTGTGATTTTCTAGTCATAGATTTTTATTATTATTCTAACGTTGATAAAAATTTCTTACCGAAGTAGCTCTTTTAACTGCCGCTAAGAAGGACTGATCGCACTAATACTAGGTCGAAGTAATCTCTCTTTGGATTCAATATAATTTTCAGTTGATCGCGTCGATTATGCTCTTCCGCAATAGAAGAGTTGCGGTGCGACATATATCTACATTTATCTTAAAAATTTACATGATAAATCCTTCGATCTTCGTAGAAACAGAACGCTATATCGTTTTGTCGAACAGTTTGCACCCAATGGTTCTTAACGCTTGAATGCGAGGTATCCATTTTGTGAAGTCACAAGATATACCATTGCTTCAGGCAGTACGTAGAAACGAACTCTTTTCTTCATCTCTTAATTCTCACTTATGTCTCGTCGATTTCCGTGAGTAAAAAGAGAAAACTTGGACGTCTCTTCCACTCTTCAGACGGCTGTTGGTCTCCGTGAGCGTTAAGAACAACCGGTTTGCGTCACTCGTTCGATGAGTTATCCATACGTCGGTTAGCTTTTACGTACTTTTAAGTACTTTATTCGTCAATCCTTATATAGTATATAAAAGGTATGTCGTTAACGTGTTCGTCTTCTGTCCGCATCGGTGGCGAATGAGCGATTTCGACTCGCGTCGATCCTAAATCTCCGCTGGTAGAACGTTCATCTTGTCACCGCGCAGCCCTCTAGCCCCGTGGAACAACGGATAGGCGTTCTTCCGGTGCACTTTGCGATGCTTGGCCAGGTGATCGCTGCGCGCGAACTTCTTCGAGCACATCTCGCATTCATAAGGTTTTACGCCCGAATGCGAGCGCCGGTGTCGCGCTAACTCGTCCGATCGGCTGAAACGCCATCCGCAGCCGGGCCATGTGCATGCGAATGGCTTCTCGCCGGTATGCCGGCGCAAGTGAGCTTTCAAGTGGGACGCCTTGGCGTAGACCTGAAATCCAAGTTCAGTTTTCAGATTTGCTTGAAATTAATCAAATTTATGGGAACGGAACTAATCAATTTTATGAAAATAAATTAGACGTTTTATACGACGAAAGCGAATCTTCCATTCATTATGGACATTGCTGATGTACATTTCACATCTACATTACGGTAATCTTTGAAGAGAAATCTTTAGAAGAAAGCAATGCAATTGGCAAAGTTCTCAGATTACAATCAATCAATTAAAAATCAAATAAAGTAATAAGAATCGAACGTCAGCTTGTTTCTCTCTCTCTTTTTATTTTTTATTTTCTCTTCATTAAAAATCTTTAAAATATCACAAATTTATTGAAACAACTTAAAATTTAGCAGAGTTTAGTCATTTTGTTCATATCTCGATGACAAGCTCGTTTCTTTCAAACTTTCAGCGCCAATATTTTCTCGAGGAGAAATAAGTTGTTTTTCTACGAGAAATAGTGGCCTGAAGAAATGGTTCGCCCTTGTCGTATGAGACGCTTGGAATGTTGCATATTGAGCGAGTCGTTACCTTCACACATCCTGGATAAGTACATGGAAAGCATCGGTCCTCGGCTGCGGTCGCTAAACTGCGATTGGTGTAATCGTGTGTCGCTAACGCGGCGGTAGCTGCTGACGAGATTAGGAGACTGTTGTCTAACTGATTGTTGTTATAATCTGCAATCGCGAGACGCGTATATTAGTCGCGAGTTTAACGTGTGATCATCAGAAAGAAGGTGGACGTTCCGAGCGCGGTTATTAGCGTTACGTGCGATACGTTAATTGACTTTATCTCGGGCGATGCAGATCGATGCGCTGGAATGACTCGCGATAGCTCGCGGCGATAGTTCGCGCACGTTTCGCGTACCTATCGTGTTCGCTCCTAGCGTGTTCTCCAATGCGCACAAGTCGATCCCAAGCACTAGCAACGGCTCCTCGCACTGCGGCGTCTGCTGCGGATTCGGTAGCGGCAGATGCAGGAATCCTTCGCATCCCGCAGTGCACAGCGGCGTCCTTTCCGGCAGGCCGGAGTCCCAGCTCTTCTCCAGACACCAGTCCAGCTCAGAGTCCAGTTCGCTCAATTCGCTTAGACAACCTGTGCAAACGTTCGCAAAGCGACACGTGTAATTAGTCGCAGCGTGCCTCGTGATATATCATACTTTTATATTCTCGTTTCTGTAGCATTGACGATTAATTTTTCGATCACGCGATCTGGAGTCTAGAGTCTCTCGCGAAAAGTCGATGTATTATTTTTAATTTATTTACATGTATTACGACGATTCATTAGTTAAAATATTCCTTTTTAACTTATAGTCTTGAAGTATTAAAATGCACACACGTGCAAGGATAGTTTGCCATACTTCTCAAGTATTTCAAGTATATCTATTATGCATGTTTCTGCTAACGTCGTTCAAATCTTAATCTGAGTTTAAATCTTTGTTTGATAGTCGTTTCTACCAACTTCAGTTAACTTAACCATTCCAACGGAACTGACCAATTGCATCTATTAATTCAGACTAACAAAAAATGCAATTGAATCAATTTTGTTAGAATAACCAACCGGTTAAGTTAACCACAGTTAGTAGAAATGGCTATAAATAGAGTTTAAATACAAATCAAGGTTTAACCGACGTTGAAACTAACAAAAACCTGTCAGAATGATCCAACAATCATTCTGATTTTCATTCATTCTGAAATTCATCAAACTAAAAAATGATGCAACCTTCTTGCCGCGGATTATACTCTTCCAATCAACGAACGCTAATATTTTTCGGGAAAGTTCTCCTCCGGTCAATCTGAATTGTTCGATTATATACGTGCAAATGCATACCTGACGATGTAAGCGTATTGGTAGGCAACCAGTCGTTCCACGACGACGACTTGGTGGAGTAAGTTAAGTCAGTGTAGCAATCCATCTCTCTCGAATTCGTCGCGATGTTCGACTCTCTGGCTGTCGATATTATCCCGAAATCGTCGCTGAGCGTCTCGCACGACACCTCGTAATCGTACGGTAAATTTATCGTGGTCGGAGAGAGTAATTGCCTCTCGACACCGGTGTCCATCGTTAGGCCCAAGGTGGAGTACAGCAGTTCGTCCGACATCTGTGAATCACATGAATGCAACGTTCGTGAGCTTCTTTCATTTCGAATTACAACTTCTAACTACCATTTTCGCCACTCTCAGAGATTCAGCACTCTTGAGCAAACCGCGTGACAATGAATGCATGCCAAACGAAACATATTGAGATACAGATAAAATGTAATGATACAAAAGATCATTACTTCATTGATTGAATACCGCGCGAATATACGCGACTATTTGCGATCCTGCACGCACTACGCTGCTATGCTATACTCACATCGAACGTCGTGGCTTCCTCGATCATGATGTCGAGCGATTAGCCAAGGAAACTAGGACTGAGATCGATCTCTCGCACGGGAGTGCACTTTTCGCGTCACAAAACGCCGGACTACAGTTTTCCCAATAACGATTGCGTCCGGTGTCCAAAGTGCATGGTCGCACCGAGACTTTGCTAAGTCAGATTTTTCGATCACACAAGAGAGAATCCGTCTATCGATCACCGCGCATCAATCTAAGCAGACTCAGGCGATTGTGTTCGAGGTGTGTTCGAGTGGTGTTAAGCCGTGGCTTGCTCCTATCATATCATAGCCGCGATCTGTTTGACGATGAGAACGGACATTCGCGAGATCACGGATCCAATCGCCAGGAGATATCAGATCGGACCAGCAGCAACGACGGCGATGACGGTCGAGCGATGGTTCAAGAGCGACTTGGAGCGCAAAGAAGAAAGATTCATATTTCGACTCGACCGTTCCCTATCGCGATTATCGAGACGACCTTGAACACAGGTTATACCGATGTGTCCGCTCTGCGCACGGAAGAAGACGCGCGTTTGTCGGCGAAACTGAGTAAACAACACCGGCGGATGGAGGGACGACGGGCACGCATGCACTTCGGCGCGGGTCACGCGCGTCGGGGGTCGGGGGTCGTGTGGTGTCGCCGAGACCGCAACTCGATCGAGACTGCAACTGGTGGTCGTTCTTCAGCCGAGAAGACGTCGGCGGGAGTATGTGACGAGAGTGCGTGGCGCATGGCTCCTCCGAGATAAGGATGTTAGCCTGTGCCAACCGGTGCCGTCACCGCGCCGATCCCGAGGGACCGGCCGATCGCGCGCGGCCGATCCAGAACACCGAGAGCGCGAATGCGCGCCAGCCAGCACCACCATCACCATCACCGTCATCACCACCACCGCTATCACCACCGTCACCTACCACCACTGGCACCGTCGTCGTCCTCATCGTTTCTACTCTCTTAGTCCGCAGATATTAATCGCTAGAGAGGGATTCGAGTGTCTCGCAAGCGGCTTAGCTAGGAGGCTGGCAGTAGCGGGTAGCTTTTGATCTTTTGCGACCACAAGAGCGGGAGAAGCGAGGAGAAGGATGTGAAATTATCAGGTGCTCAGGAAGGGAAGAAGAGCAATTTAGACCTGATCAAGCCTAGATCAAAATCAAGATTTAGACCTAGATCAAGTTAGATTTAAATGTTTTAGTTCGATCATATGATACATTATAGTATTTTGTGATCATGATTCAACGGAAAGATTTGTGTGTAACTCTAAATTCAGATCTGAGTGTTTCATTTGAAATAAGTTTCAAGTAACGACTGTTAATACAGGTCTTAGGGTATGAGTCTATAACAGAGGGGGCATAAATATTTTTTTGTTTCTTTCTTTTTCAATTGTACTCTTGCAAACTCCAATTGGCACTTGTCTGTTAAACACATTCTTTTTTTTTTATATTAGAGATCTCCTTTTGTTTTATTTATTACGACTATATGGAACTCAATCTGGATAGAGTAGACTGAGACGAATCGAATCAAAATAAGTTTTGATACAGTTGTCGTTAGTTTTTTATTTCAAACAAACTGTTTCAAGTGTCAGAGATTATTAACATGATAAAATAGTTCGTTTGAGGTGAAAAATTAACGACAACTGTCTTGAAACTTATTTTGATCCGATTCGCTTCGGTCTACCTTGCTGGTTTCGATAGTCAGCACATGTCGAACTTGATCCCATCCCTACCGACCGAACAATTAGTCCGCTTATTTATGATTCCCCGGACAGCGCTGATAATCGCGATGCTCTCACGTCGTCTATCACCGCCGCGCCAATTCGCCGGACAAATAGCATCGCGAATTCGGGAGAGAGAAAGAGCGAACACCCTTTCTTCGTCTTTGGGGATGTCTCGGGGATGCCGTCGCGTTGTCGAGCACGTGGCTCGGGCGCCAGATAGATATACGCTATATATATATATACAGGGTGTTGAAAAAAAAGGGTCACATATTTTGATAGCAGGTAGTATTGATCAAAACAAGAAGAAAAGTTCTAATTAACATGGGTCCTAAGACTAATATCTTCTAAGATACAAGCTATTTTGTTATTTGAGCTCTTTGTCATTTTCTTATTAGTCGTGTCATCTTTAGAATGTAATGATCAAAGGAGTAGAGGAGAGTAGGGTACAATGGGGATATCTTTTTTCTAGGTGCCTTAAAAAATAAAAAATTAACAAAGAGAGCTAAAGAAACAATTTTTATTTTAATATGAAATGTAATCATTTATCTTCCATAAAAAAACTGAAGTAAAGAAACTGAATGTATGATAACAAAATAAAAACTCTTTTTACAAAAAACAAAAAATTTTAATGCTGAAACATGCGTGAGAGTGAAGATAAATGATTACATTTTATATTAAAATAAAAATTGTTTTTTTATCTCTCTTTGTTAATTTTTTTATTTTTTAAAGCACCTAGAAAAAACATATTCCCACTCTCTCCTACTCCTTTGTTCATTACATTCTAAAGATGACACGACTAATAAGAAAATGACAAAGAGCTCAAATAACAAAATAGCTTGTATCTTAGAAGATATTAGTCTTAGGACCCATGTTAATTAGAACTTTTCTTCTTGTTTTGATCAATACTACCTGCTATCAAAATATGTGACCCTTTTTTTTCAACACCCTGTATATATATATATA